CAATGCTAATTCTTTAGGCATATTCCAGTCACTACGCTGAGCTAATCCCAATGTGTCAGGTTCGTTTGAAGAGCACTCTATGACTAATGCTGATGCTACTGCCAATCTCTGAGCTTCACAAGTAGTGTATATGAAACTCTGTTGCAACAGACCCTTAAATTTGACCATCGTTCGTTAACTGCAAGCTCATTACCCTTATGCATGTATGACCCCAATTCTAAATATGAACATCCTTGCTATTCAATCGGTATCATATCATGTTCATGGGAAGAGATCGTAGCATTTTGCTTGCATATCATACATTTGATAAAGAATGAAGACTAAAAATCTTATAGCTAAATTCTTTAATTCGAACCAACCAATATCAACAGAACATCTAGCAAACTTCACGAAATGCTGTTGTGAAATATGAGGCGACAGGGATAAGAGTTAGTTCTCAGAAATATGGAGGTAGAGGTTCATACATGTATCCCAGTGGTAAGGTGGATGCACATTAAACATGATCCCCTTACCAGATTCCTTACCTAATAGCTCTATCATCAAAAATTTTCTTCTATTCACACCAACCATCGTAGTTTCATTGTTAGGATTTGTTAATGTATAAGATTATAGCCTCGTTCACACGAGACCTCGTATTTATGAAATAAGGTATTTGCGAAATACCGAATCTGAGACAAATAAGCGGCCGAGCGTTCACACGCTGATTCGCGGCTCCAGAAATACGGTATTTGCGAGCTACGAGCTGCTTTAGTAACAATCAAGTGAACAATGCGAAATAAACAATGCAATGCGCGCCAACTGCCGATAAAATACGTAGACTGGTCCGCACTCGACAATTCCACTCGCGTTACACTGGAAGTTGAACTGTCGAGCGCGGACCAGTCTATAAAATAAGCGGCTTCAGAAATCCGGTATTTAGCTTTCACACGAGGAAATGCGCAGACCAAGAGATCCGGTATTTCTCAAGCACGGCAAATTATTCGGGGCCTGGGAAGCCGCGTATTTACATCAAATACCGGATCTGTTTAGATACCGTATTTCTTGGACCGCGCATTTTGCCTCGTGTGAATGCTAAATACCGGATTTCTTGCTACGTGTGAACGCGGCTAACGGTATTTGATGTAAATGCGCGGCTTCCCAGACCCCCGAATAATTTGTTGTGCTTGAGAAATACCAGATCTCTTGGACCGCGCATTTCCTTGTGTGAAACGCTAAATACCAGATTTCTGAAAGCCACGTATTTTATAGACTGGTCCGCGCGCTTGAAGTATCCGGTGTAACGCGAGTGGAACTGTCGAGCGCAGACCAGTCTACGTATTTTATCGGCAGTTGGTGCGTATTGCATTGGTTATTTCGCATTGTTCGGCTTGATTGTTTAAAGAGCTCGCAGCTCGGCAAATACCGTATTTCTGGAGCCCGCAATCAGCGTGTGAACGCTGCGCCGCGCTATTTGTCTCAGATTAGTTATTTCGCACAATACGGTATTTCATCAAATACGAGGTCTCGTGTGAACGAGGCTAATGTAAATCCACGTAAAGCAGATGATAAATAGCAGCACTGGATGATGAATCGAAACAATTTACAAATGCTACTACGTAGCCAGTTTTGTTGAGAATCTTCAGCTCCCTCTTGCAGCCGTAACATGTGAGGCATCAAGCAGGTTCTCCAACTCCTTCTGCTGCCGTTCCTCCTCTAGTAGGAACTTCCCTCGTCACGCGAATCTCTTCTCCTTTCAGTGGAGCTCAATTCTGTCTGGTTTTTTCAACTCAACGTCGAGCAGTTGCCGTAAACAGCTGGTCAACGTTGGGTGACGAACTCAACGAGAGCCAGGGCTGGTGTCGTCAGGCCGAGGCGCGCGAACCGTCCGCTGGCGCGCTCCGCGTCTTCGGAGATTCCGGAAGGCCTCTCCGGCGTGCCGCAGCCTCGTCCAACCAGCGTGCAGCTGCGCTATAGCGAATCCTCGAGTCGGCGACGGTCTGCTTCAGGGGTTGCATTCTCTTCTCCCAGTTTTTCGCGGCCGTTTGCCATCTCTCTGCTCTCCGCGTGCACCGTTCCCTGGCGCGAACTTCGCAGCGCTGCATTTTTCTCGCTGGGAGGATGTCGATTTCGGCCAAACGAGTGCGTAGCTCTGCGACTTTCTGTTCGCTCTGCGCGGTCACGTCGCCCAGCTGCTCTGTCAAGAACAGCTGGCGTTGTCGTTCAGTGCCTTTATTGAAACAGCCTGTGCTGGCAGCAGTGCAGTCAGCTGGGCCCTCTCACCATGTGGATTGACACTCTGCGACGACCTCCCATCTGCTGTAGTACGCTGCAGCAGCTGCTCGTATTGCGGCCTTGTGAGCTACTTGCAGATCTCGTAGTGACTCACGCAGTTTTACGGTTGACATTAAACTGCTCCGTCACGCTGCAGTTTGCTTGGTTGAAGGCAACATCTAGATTATTGAGCCTGCTCTTGAGGGTGGCAGTGAGCTTTGCCTCCTCTTGTGCCTTCTGTAGCTGCTCCTGCTATGGCTCAGCGCCTGCGTCAAGCTCTTGCTCTTACTTGAAAGCTCATTGTTTTTCTGTGTGAGAGCATCTACCTGGCACCGTCATGCCCTCCTCCTTTTTGCCCCCCACTCCGACTCCTATGCTGGCAAAGTCATTCAGCTTCCGCTGCATTGCTTCTATTTTCGTAGGCGGAGTGCTGCTGCTCCACGCTGGCTTGCTCCTGCATCTGGACCTTCGTCTGCTGGCGCTTCTCGCTGTGTTCCTGCACAAGCGGTCGTATTCGCGCCTCATCGTCAACAGCCTCACGAACACAACCAACTCTTTCTCGTAGCTCCTGCACAGTTCTTTCGATGTTTCGATCCGCCAGTGAGACATTTTGCTGCAGTTTGCAACCTCTGTCTGCGTCCATTCCAGCCTATCTCTTGTGGAGTCACACTCGGTTGTCTGGTCTGCAGCTTCTGCTGAAGGCTTTTCACTTCTGTTCCACTTGGATGTTTTTGTGTTCATTACTATATCGATTTGTTATCATTAGCTCCTTCAGTTCTGTCTCACAATAATTCCGCTAGGTAGCCATCAGTAGTCACTTTCTGCTGACGTAGTAGATCACTCAAAATTACCAGAGAGTGCTCCATGGTGATGGAATTCTGTGGAACAAGAATATTTTATTTTATTTCAAAGTACTATACTCCCTATCAATCTAATATATATTTGAGTTCGTATGTATCTATGTATGTATGTATCTTCCCCTATAGGCGGCCAAACCGCCCAAGCGATCTGGAATGCAATTTTCACAGGGCCATCTCTTAAACCGCGGGAGTGTCCTAGCTGAAAAAAACCTGCCAAACCGTCAACCACCGAAAATACGTAGAAAACCCTCAATTCGTCAATCTTCACACATTGTCAGCATTTGACTGTACAGTGCTGCCACACACAGAGAAAATCGATAGACTCATTTCATCAGCTGCTGGTATTGTTAAACCGAAACCGCGTACTAAAACAGAGCAACCAGGAACCTGTTCAGAGGTTACGACTGCATTGTTTATCAAGAGGCTTTGAAATGAGAAGTGCAACCCATTCCTACATGCTGTTAGAATAATTTTCTTATTTACCCATATTACTATTATGTTCCAGGGGTTCTACGTTGGGTTGTGGCTGTCATATAAATGTCATAACGTAACCGTTTTTTACCAATGCTTATTAATCTGATATAACTCATTTGTAAATACTTATAGAGATTCATTATAGTTTAGTATGAGTATTATATAGTTTGAGAGGTTACGATTGTCAAAACATCAACGCATAAAGACGCGTACCAAAGTGAGTAAACATTCTTTTATAATTACAAATTTCCCCCACTCGCTGGCCTGTCTGTATACTATATAATCGACTTTTTTTATTCATGCTATCGATTTCAGAATCCATTGTACCATTCGAAAGCTATGCCTTTTTCTGATTCAGTAAGAAAAATTCATTTATTTTGAATTTTCAATGTGCATGTTGCGCGCCAAGCAATTCACTAGACCAATATCCAATTGACACAGACCCCACTCGCTGGCCTGTCTCTATCATATAATCTATATACCCAATTTCGTTTATTCATCCTACGATCTGACAATGGATAGCTGTACGTGTGAGGCTCAACAGTTCGAGACGCCAGCATCTCTACATATTTTCACCACAGACAAATACACGGCAAACCATTGTTTATCAAGAAGGTTTTCAAATGAAAACTGCAACCCATTCGACATGGCTGTTATAATAACTTTCTCATTTGCCACCATATTACTATTATGTCTCAGGGGTTCTAAGTTCGGTGTGCTGTCATATAAATGTCATAGCGTAACAGTTTTCCCCATGCTAATTATCTTATTACACTGAATTTGTAAATACTGATATTGTGTGGCAATGTTATATTGTCGATTTTTACCCAATGTTCCTATTGTGTGCCAATTATATAGTAGTATGAATTAGTACCCGATTTTAACGACGCAGCGGCAGCGGGTACCGGCAGCTTATTAATTATATATTTAAAAATTATTATATTAAAATAATAAATATTATTTAGGTGATAGTTTCAGTGTGTAGTCACATGCACTTGGTACGTTTCAATAATAAAATGATGGTAAATAAACATGAAATGTACTAACTTCGCTGTGGCTATATGCCCGGCAGCCGGACACGGTCTTTGAATTTCCTTAAACTGCCGACGTAGCAGTTCCTAAACCCTAACCTGAAACCCT